AGATTCAATTCGTCGTAGAACTCTTTCGAAGTTGGTTAAAATAAGCTTATTTGCAAGAATCGATTTTTACTAGAAGCAAACTTGTGACTTTGATTTTTATATGGAGTATGGGGGATGGTTTTAATGAAGAAGTTTCAAAATAATAAAAAAAAATGTTTTTCTTATTACAATTTAAGTTTTTTTTATGTTTCTTACTGTTCCACAGACCTTGAAAGGCACTGGGAATATTCAGGGCTTCGCCCTGATAAGAACAGCCTCTTTTTGATTTAAATTTATACCGACTTAAAGGTATGTTACAAACTGCCCAAAGATTTCATATGTTTCAATCGTTCTTTCTTTTTCATTCATATGTTATTTTTTTCTAAGAAACTTAAAAAGTTAATTCAAACGATTTCGCACATTTTGTGCATCATCAGAATTAATTTTTTTTACAATATTCAAAGATCTGAAAAATGAGAAACATGTCTAAAATGCTCTAAAACGTTTTGACCAATCAAATTTATACAACTGTATTTACATAATAAATTTAATGATCATAAAAAACATTTTCCTGTAAACTTCTGAGATTTTTTATTTGGTTTTTGTTCTTCCATGGTTATAAAATTTCGGTTTGGGAATGTTTTTGGTTCTGACATGCCAGTTTTTAAACTTTTAGCCATGTTTTTATAGACTGTAATTTTAGTGTTAATTCCCGGCTCCTGAATTCATCGCGTGTGTTAATCCTCGGCCTCTCCCTCCAAATATGCAAAGCCTCTAGTGTCGTCAGCTTATGAGTGTTGGATGTTAGGTCTAATATCTCTGACTTCAGCTCAGCAGAATCGCCTACCTCCTTAATACACTCTAACAAGTGTTGCCCTACTGGGGAGTCCCCTTTGCGGTGTTCATCGACCCTCGTTGTTAAAGGTCGGACTGACTGGCCGACTTAAGTGGAGTTACATCCACTACATGTAAGCTTATACACCGTTTGGGATCTCTATTCACGAGCAAAGGAAATTTTGAGGGATGGCAAGCAAGTATTCAATTTTCTTGTTGAATAAATTATTTGTTCCCCGAATACTAGCCCAAGCTTTGCAGCTAACAATTGAGATGGATTGCTTCGATAATGCATTGTAAAAAAGGGGTGAGTCTTATAACCTTTTATCGTTTCTAGGTTCTGATGCCTTCACCACTAATTTCTTCTTTCCCTCACATCAAAAATCTTGTTAAGAGTTTCAAACACTACCCTATCCGACCAATTTTTCGGATACTGATTTCCAATCCATTGTTTCCGATTTTTTTCAATGCCTGGTCAAAATTTTCCCATGTTGAGGTACTTCTGAAAATCATATGAACCGTCCCTTTAGTAACGTTTCTTTTGTACTGCAAAGGTGCGAAGCCTCTGAAATTGAGAATGGTGCCGGTATCAGTGGGTTTTTTGGTACCAACCACATGTGACCTTTTTTCCTGAATCCACGTTGACATTTAAGTCCGAAAAGGCCAAATTACCGTTATTATCAAGTTCTTCTATAGTGAACTGCAATTTTGGATGCAACTTATTGGCAGCCTCGAGAACTACCCAGGGATGGCCCTTGACAGTTCTTACTATGTCGTCCACATATCTTAGAAAAACTTTAACACCATTCACATTCCGATCTGCTTCCTGTTGTTTTTTTTTTTGCAATTATGCAATACCATACTGTTTCAGCGATGTCTGCGTATTCGGATTCCAATATGTTATCACACCCTAAAGGGTACCAACTCAAACAAGGTTCGCATTCTACCCCTTTAGTCCGATATGTCACCTTTTTTTGACATCCAGGGCAGATTTCCTTGTTACCCTAATTTAGCACAGTCAATTTTGGTTGTTCTTTCTTTAATGCAGGTTCGTGTTCCTTGAGCCACAAATTGGCAAGTCTTACTGCAAAGGAGGCGCCCATTGCTAAACCGTCTTTTTGTACATACCACAAACCATTGCAATTAAAGTGTACCTCACTCAGTGCCAACTTCAATATTTTTTTTCATATTCTTGCGAGATTTTTCCGGAGGGTTGACTTGCAGATATAATCTTCTCAGGGCTCTTTCAATCGCTTCCTTGAGCGGTACATTAGTGTACAAACTCTTTACATCAAGAGAGATTAAACTCTCATCAGACTCCAATTCATTTTTCTCCGAGACCACCCTGGCCATATGAGTGTTCTTCTCTATGTTTGCCCCCTCAATTTCATCAAAGTACTTTGCCAATGTCCTATTTAGGTTGTCAATTGAGCTATCTGTTAAAGAAAGGACGGGACGAATTGGTGTGCCTTGTTTGTGTAATTTTGCTAATCCATACAGACTAGACGGCTGCGCCCACGTTGATCTCAGCCTAGAATACAGCGCTTCGCTTATCTCGTCCTTCTTTTTCATGGCGAGTAATTTTTTGCTTATGTCTTTTTAAATTTTTATAATCACGCTGTCTGTCAGATTCTTCCTCTCACTAAATTGTTCTGCCTCTAATAAGTCTTTCAGCTTTTTCTCACATGTCTCTTTTTTCAATACACAAAAACCCACCCCCATATCAAAGGGCACTGCCAGAAGACCGTTGTCCTTCAAATAATTTCCGGCTTTTTCAACACCTTTATTAGAGGGGGTCTGATTCACATTCTTTCACATTCACATATCTTTTTGCAGCTGCTTCAATCTCACATAAATTTTCTGCGGGTATTCTTTTTAACTTTAGCTCAGACAGAAAACTATGAATGTTCGCAAGGAAGTGAAGTTCATTGAATTTGTCTCGTATCGGATTTTTTGGTTCAAAACTTAAGCCCGCACACAAAGCGGTAAAATCACTTCATCTCAAATTCTAACTGACCTTTCGTCCAAGATCTTTAATGGTCTATCCTGTCTTTCGTAAGTTTTTTAAGCTTTTTCTTGTGTCGGCTTATCAGGTTATTGACGCTATACCTTGTTTGCAGGTTCAGATAGAATATTACCGAAGGCCACCACTTCTCATCGATACCCCTTCTCACTATCTCTCTTGCTTTTGCTAGGTTACCCGATGTCTTGGCCCAATCCGCACTTGTCTGGCTTATCTCAGATCTCAAGAGTCTCAGTGGAAAGTTGTGCACCGCTTTATCCGAAAAAACACCGTTATCAGGCACGCGAAACCCTTAAAACGTTTGGTATAATGTCGTTATCGAGACATTTTCTCAAAAATTTAAAATGTTTTGAATAATCTAACACAAGTTTCCAAGTTCATTTTCTCCTCAGGACCAATCTAAGGAGTGATGATGGCAGCAAAATTGCGGTCATCTCTTCTTTGCAGGCCACGAGCACTTAAACTCATGTGGTACTCAGAAAAGGAAAAACAGCCCCAATATTATCTTACCTTTTATTGGTCGTTCGGCTCCAGCTGGAGGTCCAGGGCAACACCTCCGCTCTCCGCGCTTTCGCCCTGTGGCGTCCCTGCGATGGTTTTTTGGTCTGGACCCGTATCCTTGAGAAAATTCCCGGCAGGTGGTCTCGATGGGACAGCACCACCCGTAGTGACTTCAACTCCAGTTCGCTTGACTGGTGCAGTTGAAGATACTCTCTGAGGACCGCAGGATTCAGTCTCTTGCTTCTGGAGATAAGGCTACCGGTTGTTTTATGACGATTATCTCTGTCTACGGCAGATTCTCAAAAATATCGGGAGTGCCCGTTCTACTGCAGTAGACATTGCTACCTATTTGTCTTAGCTTCGATTGTAAATACGCCAGTAGTTCATCAAGTGTGCAGGGTGTGTAGTTGTGCGGGCGATGGGAGGATATGATGTTATTCAGCACATCGTGCCAGAGAATGTTCTGCTTACTGGCCAGAGGTAAATGTTCCTATAATACTCTTAAATCTTTTGCCCTGTTCAAGGTTTTGGGGTTCAAAGAAAGGCCGGGGACTGCGTAGACCTTCTGCTGCGTCTCTGTCAGTTCCTATAGCTCAAGGTCATTCAGGCTGTGATAAAGGGAGCTGGCAGCTACAATCATAGCCATTTCAACTCAAACACTACTGAAATTATGAACACGAAGCGGTAGTAAAATTTTGTACAAAGAGAGAGAGAGAGAGAGAAAAATTGAAGTAATGACTGTTTTTCTTAAAGGAATATAACAGTTTGCTTATATCTTATTGCTAAAAAGGGTTAGAATTTAACAAAAATGGTTATTAGAAATTCAAGTTGTAAATTCACACATTTTGTGCATCATCAGGGTTAAATTTTTTTCTACAATATTTACAAACGGATCAAAGATCTGTAAAATGAGACACATGTCCAAAAACGCTCTAAAACTTTTTGACCAATCAAATTCAAACAACTGTAATTACAAAATAAATTACGTAATTATAAAAAATATTTTCCTATAAATTTCTGAATTTTTTAAATTTTTTGTTTTTTCAAGAATATAAAATTTCGATTTGGGAATATTTTTGAATCTGACATGTCAGTTTTTATTTTTTAGCCATGTTATACATAGACTATAGTTTTAGTGTTTTAGTGTCAAAATTATAGTTTGTGTATAACATGGCTAAAAAGTAAAAAACTGACAGAATCTAAAAATATTCCCAAATCAAAATTTTATAAACATTAAAGAACAAAAAACTAAAAAATCTCAGAAATTTATGGGAAAAAGTTATATAGGATTACGTAATTTAATATGAAATTACAGTTGTTTAAATTTGTTTGGTCAAAATTTTTTTTGGAGCATTTCTAACATGTTTATCATTTTCAGATCTTTAATCACTTCGTAAATATTCTAAAAAATTTTTAATCCTGATGATGCACAAATTGTGCGAAAACTTTTAAATTAACATTTTTAAATTTCTTTTTTTTTCATTCATGCGTTTTTTTCTATTTTTTTTTTATTTTAGCAAAATCAACAGAAGCAGAACTTTTAAACTATTTTCGCATAGACTTGCTTTCTCTAGTCTTTTTTTCTCAGAATTGGGTCATTATAATGGCCAACCCTGAAACAGATGTAAATCACTTCATTGCGTCTTAGTTCCGTTATTTTTAGATGCTGATGAGCCGCCAAAAAACATCAACTGGTTCGATCTGAGTGTGATTTCGGACTACACTATGTACTTAGCAGACGAGGCAACCAAATTCGACATTGTCCTCTCGCCTATTGGCCCGCCCTGCTCGGAGCTCAGAATGGTCACTAATGGTCAGGAGGAATCGAGACCGCTGAGAATCGAGCAGATGAAGCCAGGGTGCAAATACAGGACCAAGTATGCCTCCAAATGCATCGTGTCAAATAACGGGACTTCTCAAACGACTCTTTCAAATTATGTTTCATTTGACCAGTCGTTTTGCACAGGTTAGAGCTGTTTGGTTCCAGAAATAATTAGATAATGGTTCTTACCAGAGTCCGATATGGCTCCATTTAGATTAAATCAATTAAGGAAAAATCTAAAACCATCTTTCACCGGCATTTTTTTCATGGCTGTTTTCATTTCAGGCTTTGCCTGCTCAGATTTGTGCTTTTAAAATCAACCAATGAACAGCTGAAATATTTGAACAGCTGAAATATTCAGTTAAGTCTTATGTATGATCATCTCTGTATCTTTAGCTCCAAGTATTTCGACTGCTCAAATAAGTGCAACATCCGAACGTGAGTTCTACGGAGACCCTGAGCCAGCTTCATATCTTGCGTACCTCGAGTTTACTGGATTTCAGACGGAAAACGGGGTGCTTTCTGAATTCACTCTCGAACTAAAGCCTCATTGTCCTGATTTGGATCCGATGACTCTGGTTCAAACTGTAGTCTCATCTTCGGCTAGGTTTGATAAACTCATTCCGTGTTGCGCGTACACGCTCAGTTACTCGGCTATTTGCTACGCAGATCTTAATTCGGCTCAGTCGCCAATTGTCGAAGCGAACGGCAACTTCTATGCAGGTGAGTGAATTAAATATTATATATTATATAAAGGAGATGATCTTCAACAGTCAAATCATAAGAAACTTATTGTAACCTTTCGGGATGGGAAGAAATCGAAACAGGAAAGCTCGCAGCGAATAACAAATAGCAAAAATAACTCGTATGATTTAGTAATTGCGACCACTCGCAAAATTAGATAACTAGCCAGTAAACTCATAAGTTTAATTGAAAAAAGTTCCGACACGATTAGGGACTTTCTGATTTTCAGAATGGGGAGATATTGATAAACGGATTCAAAAAAATCCTCTCAACCGTTTGCAATATCCGTGGGGAGAAACTTGTGCAATGCAACAAGTAAAGGTACTGGCACAAAACACTTAAAACATCCTCTTGATTTTTACGAATTGCCTTTGAAATTGTTTGCCGAAAACCGTGGGTTGTTTTGCATTTTCCATGGAACATCAAAAAACTCTAAACGTTGGGGCGTACATTTGAATTCAAAAATTTTAACAGGGATAGCGATCGGCTTATTGAAATCAACTTTGTTCTCGTTCTCAAACTGCTCTCGTTATTTTGCAATCTTATGCTCTGCAGGTTATTGTAAACAATTGCATACTGTTGTTTTGTTATCACAACAAAAATCTCAGTAAATTTTTTTAATGGTATCGAAAAACCGCAGTTTTTGGTGTCGAAGCATAATTTCCAGAGTGCCTGTTAGAAAATGTTTTTTTTCTCTCTCTCATTTTGCGCAGGACACTGGCAAAAATACATAAAGTGGGACCGGCGAGTAATTTTCTATGAAAAATAATAAAGTTACAAACGAAGTTGAAATCGTTTTCTTCGCTGGTTTCTCATTTCTGGAGGCGAATTCAAGAATGCGACATAAGCTTTATTCAAAAAAAAACAATCGAGAAACAACATGTCAAGCCATATTGCGTTTATTTCGTGAAAAATGGGTCAAAAAATATTTACGCGGAACTCCAAAATAACCAGAACTTAAGCCAGCTATCAGAAATTAGATGCCATGAGAAACAAAGTTGAAAGATCTTGGTCCACGGATGACATATCTGTCATTTAGGAATATGCCATGCTAACCTGACCTTTAAATTCATTCATTCAATAAAAAAAGATCTACAATAGAGTTCCCTGATGCGTTCCAATTACTAAAAAAGCCCTAAAAGTCCTAATTTGGAACACTAGCAGCAAAAGATGTCTATTCCCGCATCCAGTTTCAAGCGTTAATAATCGATTATAATAAGATTTTAGTACCAGTCTCACTAAAATTGAGAAACAACCGATTTTAATCAATTAATAATCGATTATAATCACTCTTTTCAAAATCAAATTATAATCACTTATAATCAATTATAATCGATTATAGTCAGTTTTTTATTCGTCTATTTTTCGATAAAATTATAATCGATTATAATTGATTATAATCCATTATTTTTATTCAAATTTCTTCTTCATTAGTTTTGCACAAAAATCCATTATAATCAATTATAATTGACTATAATCCCTTTTGTTTGTCCATTTTTGTGTTCGAAGTTGCATCTAAATTGCTTATATTTTATGCTTTTTGTGGACATTGGTTTCTATGAAAAATGAGAAAAATATTTTAAAAGTTTTCCAATTGATTCAAAATTATAAGTTTTGTTTTCATTTCTCCCCCATTAGGGTTGTTTTGTGATGCATATTTTAAGCTTTTTTAAACACCAAAACATCAGCGAATTGATTTAACCTCATCGTTGATTCGAAAAATAGAGATCCTTTCCCTTCATATGAAAGGATCTCTATGATACTTCTGTCTCTTGGTAAAACTTTGTGTTCAGATGAACCAAAGTGTTCAAGAAATCTCTCTTTTAGAGATTTTCTTATTGACACAAATTTAATAACCCATAAGATATCATTCGAATTTCGCAAATTTTCGGCAAAATGAGAGATTATAATCGATTATAAACGATTATAATTGATTTTAAGGGTTTTTAGTAGGAACTGTAATCAATTATAATCGATTATAAGGGATTATAATCTCTTGGAAAATAGCACGATTATAATCAATTATAAATCCCTTAAGGACCTAATTTTGGTAATTATAATCGACTATAATTGTCAAAAAATCATCATAATAATCCGTTATAATCGATTATTTACGCCTAAACTTGGATGCGAGTTACTCCGAAAAGCTTTTTAAAATTTTGATTTAATTTTTGAGCTGAAAACTCTTTCATATAAGTTTCATCTGTAAAACTCACTTTCCTTAAAAAAAATAATTAATGCCTCAATAATTTGATACTTCATCACTTTTGATGTCACGTTTGGATTTCAAAAACTATGGTTTATTCTCAAATTTTTTAAGGTTGTTTGATTTGTGAGAAATTTTTTCATGTAGAAAAGTTGCAAATAATATGTTTTCTGACAATTTAAAGAGGATAATAAGGAGACAATAAGGAAGATTTTTGCATCTGGGAGTGTTTCAAGTTTTTTCTTTTTTTTTCTTTTTCTTTTGTTTTGCAAGCAAAATCAGCTACCGCAATTCATCATCGGAGAGAGTTAGTGATATATCATAATAAAGCCTTCCTGATTTTAGCGACTTAGAAAGTTTGAAATTTAGGCCGTTTACAGTGGCGATATTTTGCTTGATTTTAATTTTACTTGAGAAAACTAGTTTTTGGAGATTTGTAATGTCATATTGCGAATCATAAATTTCATAAAAAACCACTGCAAAAAACGTTAAAAAACTGCTGCAAAAGACGTTAGAAAAAACTACACTATTTTGACGGAAAAAAATTGTAATTTGAAAAATTATGATCGGAACATTCGGTGCTTCTTGCACATTAGCCGGTGTTCCTTATTATGACTTGGCTTTTGTTGCTATTTGACGTTAAACCGCAACAAAAAATGTTACCTGGAGCGAGTGTTGCTTTGTTATCTGTGTTGTAGCTTAATGTTTTAAAAAATTGTATTGCAGCTTACAATTAATTCAATCTTGTTATTTACATGAAGAAGAAAAGAAAATTTTATTACAAATTAACTTTTGAAAAAAATGGGCAAAATGTGTTCATTTCCTTTTTTTCCATAAATAGTTTTGTGCTTCATGTCTTTTCCATAAAAAGTTTTATGCTTCATACTTTTTTTTGTTGGAAAAAAATGCAATCTTTCTGTAAAAAATCTATGTTTTTTGATAAATCGATTCAATACCTACTTGGTTTGTAACTTATTTTGCAGATAACAGATTTTTTTCTATTTGTGTCCGACCATTCTGCAGCTAATTGTTCCGACCGTTGAAAATTGGGGGGAACTTTGTATACAGGTGTTATTCAGTTTTTTATTTTATTTTTTTTTCACGCAAACTCATTACCACAAAGAATCATTGGATTTGGTTACGTGATATCTCATAATGAAACTCTTCCAGGCGATTAAGAAAATTCCAGTGGCGAGAAAAACTGGTTTGAAATTTAGGTGTTTTTTCGTCTTTTTTTGAGCACTAGAGCTATCGAGTAACGTTCGTTATGTGTGAAAATTACCAATTTATGCTAAGAACTGATAATTTTATAAAAAAGAAAACATAATTTTGGATGCCTAAAAACCGTTTGCTGGCGAAAAAACCATTTGAAGTTATTTGAAAACCTCAGTGCAAAAAAGTGATAAAAAAACTACAACAATTTTGTTGGAAAAAATATCTTCATCTTTTTGTTCATCTATGTTTTCGAAAACAATTTAAGGTTGCTTATGCCTAATTCACTAAATTTTTACGCGTTTGTATAGCTATATCATCACGCGACGTACACGAAAAAAATCTGAAAGTATGGTCGGATTATTTTTTGCTACTGGCAAAGCAACCGCCTATCCCCATTTTTCTTAGCGTTTGTGGAAAGTTTTGACAATTTCGATAAAAAAAGAATCTCCTGGTTGTTCAACTATTATTGGAAAGTAAGTTGATGGAAAATAGAAACTGCTGTTGGTTGATAAACAGCATCAACTGGTGACCTTTTCGCAAACAATTACGGCGCAGGTGATTGACACGAAATTGAAATTATTATTTTTTTCCAATTGCCAAAATGATTTAACTTCAACTCTTTTAGCTCCTTTCTTCAAACCATACTATTATGCAAACCCACAGAAACTCTACGATGACAGCGTGTTCATGCCACCCGCTACTTTTATTGGCAACTTCTTCGCGAGTGCATCGGCAACGTATACTATTAGCAACTGCAATTGCTACGATGGATTAAACAACCACTGTGAATATCCCAAAGTTTCAAGACCATACAACTTGTCGTCTGAGGAAGGGTTTTTTGTGGGATCTTTGCGGAAAGGGTGTGTCTATACCTTCGATTTAGAAGTGTCGTGTGCGGGAGGTCCTCCTACGTCATATTCCGGACATGGTCCAAATCTTCATACTAGTGAGTCATTTTCAACTTGGATTTTGTGAAAAAGAAGACACCTGAATATATTTATATATACTTCCTTCACACTCTGTTGTCGATAAAACATGAAAAACACATGTAAAAAAGCGTTCCCTTCCCACCAGAGGCAAATCTAGGATCTTCCCGAAGGAAGGGTGGCGGATTTTCAAAACAAATTTTTTCGACCTTTTATTCGCCACCAAAACCACCAAAAAAAAATTCCCAGCGCTCCCAAAGCACTAAAAAGACCCTGTTTTGGACATATTTTTTGAGGGCAAAGTTTTGAAAAACAGGCCAAAACGAACCTTAGAACCTTTTTAGGGTTTGTCACCAAAATTGGATATCTCAATATAGTACAAAGGGGGAACCTCTGGGTCGGCAGGTGGTCGAATCCCTGAAGGAAAAATCGTCCCGCCCCCAAATCTACCCCTGCTTCCCACCCTCTTATTTGTTGCCCTCTCCTTAATTTGGCTTTCTGATTGTGCAAAGAAGGCACCGAATTCTTTGATTTAAATGGGAATATGAATTCAATTCAAGTTTTTCTTTTTTCTTTTTTCGTTCAATTAATGCTGGATATGCTGTCTCATATTTCTTTTCGATTTAAAATTATGTATTTCAGCGCTAGATGAGGACGGGGTCCAAAACTTGAAGCAGTCGGGGGGAACTGCAAATTCAATTGTGCTTTCCTGGCAAGACAGAGGTGACTTCTCATCCGGCTGGTACGAAGTTGTCATTACGGCAACATCGGATCCTCTTTTGGTGTACTATAGAGAAATACTTGTAACGCAAAGAACACCAAGTTCAACATTAGTCGAGTACAACTCTTTGAACTTTGTGTGGCTTCCTAGAGCTTCTTCATTTACCTGTGCAGTGAACAAAGTGACCCAGGTCTTCAACGAAATTCATTTCACGAAAACTGTTTCGACTGAAATCCAGTGCTCAACAGCAGGTTTTAACATATATAATATATATGCATAAATATATTCTCAATTTTTCCATCTTTACGAAAAATATAATCATCAAAATAAAAATTGGATTCTGCGATTCGCAGAGCAAACATGAAAGGCTATCTAGCTTGCCTAAAGAAGCTTAGTTCGTTTCCTTAGGAAGGGCTGTTAGGTATTTTGTTCAGACTCTTTTTTCGCTTACCATGGCGGTTTTTTGCGCCTGGAACTTTTAACGTGGTACACTTTTGCAGCCAGATGATCGAAGACAAGATCTTACGCACTAGCAACTGAGTTAGGACCGATGGGTTTAACTCATAGAGTAATTTCGGATAGGGTACACCGTCTGCTCGTCACGCTATCTTATTTTCGGCCGGATAGATTCGTGCAACTTCTTAGTCTAATACCGATCCTAATCTTACTCTTATACTATCTAGTCTCAGGTTGTTTAACTAGTCTCTGCTAGGCTCAATAGATCTAGGGTATACTGGTTTATTGCGGCTGCTAAAGTACTCGGGAGAGTTCAACTAATTTCTAAGTTAAATTCAAATCTCTCTGGTGCTGAAATTACAAGTAATTTCAGCACTTACAAATAAGTGGATTGTTAGTTAGATGGATCATGATTGGTTAATATTAAATACTTTACATTGGTAAAATATCTAATTTATCCAATCATAAAATGTAGTTTAGATCAAGTTCCACCCATCCGGGTTTTACAGAGTTTTTTAGAATAGTTTTTCTGCAATTCGAAAGATGGATGATGGACGTTGGTATTTGGCGAACATCTTATTTCTTCTGGGTTTTCTTATTAGAGAAGTCCCAGATTCAATCATTGTGTCTTCTCAAGACAACGACTGGGTTTTCGCAACAAACTCAAATCTGATTTCAGAATGGTTGGCTATGTCAGGTTTTTCTGTTTCATTGGTGAGAACTTCTTTGTGTTTGACCTTGTCTGGGAATGGCGTGGAGATTGTGCGTGGAGGGGATGCCTGGTTACTCGGATCTGTACGTTTACTTGAACATCGAGGTGGTCATTGGTCTAGTTCAATGAAGTCCTTTTCTGCGAAGTCAAGTCGTACTCTAAATCCTTTGAGTTGTGATTGTGGGCGGCATATTGATTGTAGTTGGCCATTCTTTCTCGAGTGTAGTAGGGTCGTTTTGTTCTTTGGATGTTCGTCCTTGGTGTTGTATTCTGATCTATGTATTGCATAATGTAATTTACATTTTATAAAACTTTTATTAGTTTAATATTTTTTAATTATGATTTTAGTTAGTTGTTTTCACAAAAGCTTTTTGTTTTAGTTCAGTTATTTTGAAGAGTTACTCACCCTTGAGTAGCTCTTATTAAAAATAGGAGTGTGGTCACAAAGCGTGGATGTAGCACGGTGGGTTAGGCCGGCTATAGAGCATGCTCAGGACGTCCTTCCTGGTGGGTTAGGCCAGGAGTGGGAGTATGATTGCATGCGGTTTTTGTGAGAGGTCCTGTTATGTGACAACGTTTTATGTTGGGTTTGTTGTGGTTTTTCTTATGTTTTGTTGGTTGTGTCCTTTTTTCAAAAATCAAATTGTTTGTGGTATGGGTTTGTCTTTCGACTTTTTGTGTTTTATTATTTCTTTCTTAGACTTTATAATAGTCTTCAAAAGAATAAATTATCCAGTTTTAAACTGGGTTAATCCGGTTTGGGTACCGTTGGTTTCCTTTTCTTAGTCATGCTGTTATGCTATGTGTTGTGGTGTTTAGTAAGCTGCATTGGTTAGTTTTGTTTAGTATATAATTCCTTTCCAACCGGGTTAAAGGAAAGTTTGAAACATGTTATCTTGTTTTTGAGTTATCGAGTGTGAAAGCTTGGAACTGAAATTCATTGTTTTAAACAATTCTTCGTGGGCGAGCTGTGCGAGTTTGGATAGGATTTTTATGCGAGTGAATGAAAATATCAAAAGGTTAGTACTGCATTTGCTTCTTATGAATTTACTACATAGAATTTTAATTTTACTGCTAGTTGTTGGGGGAAATTAAGTTACAAATTTTTCATCATTATTAGATTTACTGCTGGTGGGGGAAAAATTTATAAATTAATTTACTGCATTGGTATTATATTTATTTAATTGTTGGTGCAAAAATTTAATAGGGTCTTAAACAGTTTTGAAGAAGTTTGCTATTTTTTATTTTTCTTTTGTGAATTTTTCAGATGATCTAGGATGAAGGCTAAAATTCTAAAGAAAACATGGATAAAGAATGGTGAGTTTCTAATATTTGAATTAATTAGTAATATGTATAATTCATACTTACCTGTTAGTCGTCGGGGAAGAAACCGTGGGGGAAAATGTCGTGGATGAGATCTGAAGTTGTAAGTAGTTTGGCTAAGATGCGGATGATATTTTTAGTTTGAAGCAGTGGCCAAAGCAATTGAAGTGCCTTAATGGTGGTTAGTTCTTCAGTGCCAACTGCAAATTCATAAGGTGTGTTTTGGATTAGATTATATAATTTGTGGTTGAATTTAGTGTTATGGATGAATTCTAAAATGGGGATTTCTATAGGTTGTACAAACTCGTGTGGGATGAGGAAGGGTCGGGATTCTTCTGCGTTGAAGGTCTTGGTGATGGGACAAAAGATATACATTTGGGTTATGGGATCATAACTTCGAAGAATACCATGAAGGTTAGTATCTTTAATGCAATATGTGAAGTTAAGAAAGAATGGTGAGGTGTATTTGGAATTGATGAATTGAAAACGATGGTGTGGTTGTCTGGAGGGAGTGTGTAGGTCAAAGTGATTTTGGATGAAACGATAATAAGTATATGTGTGTGTTTGTTTAGTGCGCAACATAATATCGTGTGAGCAGTGCAAATCTCTTTCATGTGGTGCAAGGAAACGAAAGGTTAGTGAAAAAATTTGGAAGCGTTCTTTAAAACTTTCGTAGGCTTGCGTGTCTGTTAGTGCTTCTGAGATAATGTGGTCAAACTTGCGATTGAAGATATTTAGTGTAAATACATATGGTGTTTTAATGAAAAATTTCTCGGTGATTTGTGGGTTAGCGAAGCGATCGTCGTCTAAGAATTGATCTTGGTTAGTTCTGATGATGTTATGATCGTAATATTCTAGTGTATATTCATTAGCTCGGGGTGCAGTGTGTATTTTTAGTGATTTTTTGTATCCAATGTAAGTAAATTGTCTAGGTGTTAGTGGTGTAGTGAGTCGATATAGCATGTCCTTATTTCGTTCTATATCGATACGAGTGTTAGATAAAGGTAAGCAAAGGGGATTTGTAAAATGATAATATGAGGTCCAAGGAAAGGTAGGCATTAAAACGTATTCGTCTACAAAGTTACGTGTCTCGTTAGTGTCATGAGGGGTGTTTAAGGTGTATTGTGGAAATGAGGGTAAGGTGATAGCTAAAAATTCTTTTGTGTTAGTGTGTTGTGGATGGTTGATATATTCACGGGCTGTTCCTGGTTTCGCTGGGAAAGGATGGTTGGGGAACTTCCTTTTAAAAGTGCGGTAAGCTCTATTAGTGCTGAGTGAAGATACAGTAGTTGTGGATGATGGTGCTAATGAATCAGTATAAATTGAAGAGGGTGTAGGGGTAGGAGGGTTGGATGAATCTATTGTGGATGAGATTTGGTTTATGGTTGGGGTGTCAAGGTGATAGGATTGTTGTTGTAGGGTAATGAAATTATCTAGTTCTGGGGAGATTCGGGGGGTGTCTGAAGAATGAGATGATTGGTTTGAGTGAAGTGAGGAGTAGGTTGGAGTGACTTGGGAAGCATAAGAGGGTGTAGAATTGGTTGGGTCAGGGTTATTTGGTAGTATGGGTTGAAAAGGGGGTTGGGAAAAATTTAAGGGATTGGTGTGAAAATTATTTGAGTCGGCAAATTCATCGGGGGTTTCAATATTCGGGTTATTGAGTTGTGAGATGGAGTATAAAACTGAGATGTGTGAATTAGTATCGGAATTCATGCCGGATGTTACATTACTGGATGGGAAATCGGGTGGCGGAAAAGCAAAAAGTGGTATTATTGGGATTGGAGTGGTGAGGTTGGTTGGGTGGGAATTTGATCGGTGTAGGGATCCAAGTTGTCGGCTCATCGTGGGCTAAAAAAATTATTATTTTGAGACTGAAAAGCGGTGGTATGGGGTTGTTCTATAATTTGTTCATAAGTATTTTCATCTTGTGAGTGGTGTGGCATTATATGTTGGATGGGACTTTGTGATATGGTTGGTCTAAAATTATTATGTGTTATGGCTAAATTTCGAAAATTACGTGGGACTAGGGATAATGGATGGTTATGTGGTAGGGGTGGTAACTGTGGTGCTGTTGGTGTTGTGTCTGCATTGTTATGTTCTTCGTCGTATGTGTTCTGTCTTGTTGCTATTTTTGTGTTATATTCTTTTATTTGTGCGTCTAAAAGAATTTTGTTTATAGATGTAGAAAATATTCCAAAAAATCCTGCAAATAGTATGCGTGCTACACTTGCTTGTCTATTGACTTGTGTGTGTATAGCACATGTGTTATAGATTCCTTTTAAGAGTGAAAAAAGAAATCCAATAAAGTTAAACATTGCGTATAAAATAGTTAGTTTTTCTAAGATGTAGTAGGGCCATCCTAGAAAATCAAGAATTTCATTCTTGAGTGTAACAAAGCTAAAAATATTGATAGGTGATATATCTTGGGGACGGTATTTTTCACCGTTTAGATATATATAATCTTTAATGTCTTTAAAATATCCGCTATAGTCTTGCGTATAGATGTCTGCAAATCCTGCGGTTTCGGCAAGTTTGCGTAAGTTTTGGTCAATTGATTGTCTTTGTATTGTGTCCATTGGTGTTAATAATTCCTGGAATTGTTGTGTTCTAATGTGATGTTGAATATCTGATTTTGAGTATATTTCTTTTGATTGTAAGTCTATATTTGGGTTTCGAGCGATAGCGCGAATGCTTTCTGGTGAAAATTTTTTGAGTGATTGCATTAATGTGGGATATGGGGTGAGAAGGTAATATTTATCT